CTCGTGCCTATAATCCCAGCACTTTGGGAGGCCAAGGTGAGAGGATCACTTGAGGTCAGGAATTTAAGACCAGTCTGCACAACATAGCAAGACCCCCATCTCTAAAAAAATAAAAATATTAGCTGGGTGTGGTGGTGCACACCTGTAGTTTCAGCTACTTGGGAGGTTGAGGCAGGAGGATTCTTTGAGCCCAGGAGGTCAAGACTGTGGTGAGCTATGATTATGCCACTGTCCTCCAGCCTGGTGACAGAATGAGACTCTGTCTAAAATAAAATAAATAAAATAAAATAAAATAAATCTCCAGGGAAAGGTCTAGAGAAGGACCTCCCTTCCTAATCACTCATGGCCATCCCAGGGATTTCATTTCCAAGGGTGCTGGGCTGAGACATGGTGCCCCGCTGGCTCAGCTGACGTGGGAGGTCTGAGATCTTGCAGCCTCCACAGGCAGTGTCCCACGGTGCTGTGCTCACCTGGGAACAGAATGCCTGGGTTCATATCCCGGTTTTGTCACGCCTTGGCAGTCTCAGATCAGACAAGCTGATCTGATACCTCTGAGTCTGGCTTTCCTTGCCGACAAAGGGAGGGAGGCAGCACGTCTCACGGGTCCCTGTGAGGACCAAGGACCGAGTGGGACGACGGAGCCTTGACGTCCAGCACAGCCTCTGGCCCACAATCAGCCGGGATGATGCGTTCTGTGCCCAGGGCCACTGAAAGCAGTGAGAGGCGGGAGCTGGAAGGCTGGCACTGTCCTTTCAGCTTTCTCATGTGCAAAGTGTGGACAAACGCCTGACCGCAACAGTCAGAGTCACATGATAGTGTGGCCTAAGGAGCTAAGGGATTAATAAAGCCACGGTGAGGGTGATGATGATGAGTATGGACATGACAGGGGCTGTCACAGTTCTGAGGCTCAGAACTGTGTGCTCTCTAAAGGTGGCAGCGTGCGCTATGCACGGAGGTGTTAATGGTTTCACAGACAAAAGCCACGATGCACTCTGTGAGCTACTGGTATTAGCAGGGTAGACTTAAATCTACACCACTGATTTGTGCTTCCATTGGAAAAAGAAAAAAAAAAAACAACAACAACTGGGGGAATGCTTCTTCCATGTACGTCTGCAGATTATGAAAATTACCCTCATGTATTTCCATAGAAACCGAGTTAAGGGCTATTTAGACGACAAGCGCGCTCCATGCCCCGCCACTCCATTCTCTTTATGAGTCGCTGAATGACCCTACAAATGGGGTGTTCCTTCAGAACTATAAATCAGGCAATTTATGGTGAGGTTTTTTTCTTTTTCTCTTTCAGTAATGAGAGACATGTGCAGAATATCTCTTGGTTTAATTAAATAAACAGGGTACCAGGAATTCTGGGTGATATCCTTTTCCTAACCCAGGGAGACCCTGGACCCTCGGCTTCAGAAGCACATAACCTAATAGCCGAGTTCCCTGCTGATCTGTCAGCTGGCTCATCCCGCTCAACTGCACGGGTCTTGCCTTCTGTCCTCACCCCAGAAGCGTGGCATTCCTCAGCCAGGGCTGCTCGAAGTGTGGCCCCAGGAGCAGCAGCGCTGGCATCATGGGAGCTGGTTAGAAATGCAGCTTATCAGGCCCTGCTGGACCTCATGCCTCCCTCTGTCCACAGGCGGTGGTGGCTCCAGGGCTGTGCTGCCCTGTCTGGTACCCTTCTCTGGCACCTATCAGGAACTCTTGTCTGGAGGAAGTGGATTCAGGGGGGCAGTATGCCACTGTGGAAAAGAACAGGCTTGGGGGTCCCACAAATGGTGACCTGGACACCTACGGCCCAAGGGAACAAGTGGGCCACTCAACGTCTCAGAAACTCAGTTTCTTTTACCACAAAAAGAAGCTATTTTTGCCTTTTCATGGTTTCCTGAGAATCTGAAAGAATGCTTATAACCTTCCCAGCTCACGGTGGCAGTCCCGTATGTGGTATCTCTTCTATGCTTACATGATGTCCCCCAAAGTCTGGCCCTTGACAGTAGACAGATTAAGGAATCTGAGGGAAGCAGTCATGCACTAGACACTAATGGGCTGTGTGGCTTTGGAGAAGTTACATTCTCTCTTGGAGTCTCAGCTTCCTTCTCTGTGAAATGAAGGAATGGGATGGGCTAGATTTTACATCTCTTTGAGCACTCCTGGAATTCTTTTTTTTTTTGAGACAGGGTCTTTCTCTCTCTCTCTCTCTCTCTCTCTGTTGCCCAGGCTGGAGTGCAGAGTGGCATAATCATATCTCACTGCAGTCTTGACTTTCTGGGCTCAAGTGATCATACCCTGAGTGTAGCTGGGACTATAGGCATATGCTACTATGTCTGGCTAATTTTTTTTTTTTTACTTTTCTGTACAGATGCAGTCTCGTTGTGTTGCCCAGGCTGGTCTTGAACTTCTGGGTTCAAGTGATTCTCTCACCTTGGCCTCCCAAAGTGCTGAGATCACAGGCGTGAGGTACTACACCCAGCAAATACTCCTGGACTTCTGAACCCCTCCTGGCACCTAGCAGTGTACTGGATGCGCCCAAGCAGGCAAGGAAACCCCGTTGGGCAGTTCCCAGCTGCAGACCGGGGTCAGAGGCGCTGGCTCATCTGGGCGCCTCCCTCCAGGTGGGAGGGGCTCCCTTACCAAGCAGCGGGGGAAGCCAGTTGACATTGGCCTCGCAGTGCGAATCCAAGAATGTGATGACATCTCCTATTGCCACGGAGGCCCCCAGCATGCGGGTTCGTATCAGCCCTTCCCGTTTCTTGGTTCGGAGAATCCTCACGCTGGGGAAGAGGGCCATGTAGTCTTCCAGGGGCTTCTTCAGGTGCTCTGTAAGGGAGACAGGAGAGGACAGACAGGTAAGGACAGGCATTCAGTCACCACTCCGGTGCCACCTCCTTGTGTGTGCACTGTGCTTCACAGTCTAGATTTGGCTCTCCCGGATACTGCCTTGCTGGACCTTTCAGATGGGGCCAGGAAGGGCAGGGACCATCACCTGTGGAAGACAGATGGGAAGCGAAGGCTTCAAGAGGGCCACGACAGTGCCTAGACCTGGGTCGCAGATCTTCTGATTGAGGGTGTAGGCATTTGTGGCTTATGCCTGGCTGGGACCTATCCCCTCACCTTCTGGGAACATTTTGATTTTTCTTTGGGACACTGCTCCTCCCCTTCTCAGTCCATCACACTTGGATGGGGTTGACCCCAGGTCTTGCACCCAAGGGGAAGGAGCACATGGCACTGGTGTGACCATTCTGTTCCTTTGGCTGCAGTGATTGGCTCAGGGATGGCCATGTCACCTGACTTAGTCCAAATATGGAGTCCTGAGAATGTTTTTCAGCACTACTGAAAAAATGAGGCCGGGCGTAGTGGCTCATGCCTATAAGCCTAGCACTTTAGGAGGCTGAGGTGGAAGGATTGCTTGAGGCCAGGAGTTTGCAACCAGCCTGGGAAACAAAGCGAGACCCTGTCACTAAAAAAAACAAAAAAACAAAAAAAATTAAAAATTAGCCAGGCATGTTGTTGTGCCTGTAATCTCAGCTACTTGGGAGCCTGAGGCGAGAGGACTGCATGAGTCCAGGAGTTAGAGGCCAGAGGTTGAAGCAAACTATGATTGTGCCACTGCACTCCAGTTTGGGCAACAGAGTGAGACCCTGTCTCCTGGGGGGAAAAAAAGAGTGGAAGCCTTTCTTTTTGCCGGGTGCTATGTTGATCAGCCATGAGTCAAGCTGCTGGTGACATCTTTGGCCAAATGAGGTGCTAAGAGGTAGGAGGTCTGTGAGACTGAGGCCAGCGTGTAAAAATGTCAAGAAATGGAGAGAGATGTGTAAAAATGTTGTCAAGAAGCGGAGATAGATGCTGTCCTGATGACATTCTAACTCCCCAGGCCCCGTGCCGGGAGCAGACAAAACCCTGGTGTTCTTGTGACAACTGACAACAGGCTTCTATGCTTGTTTACTCTCCTGTGCTTGGGTTGGGCTTCTGCCCCATGCCTGAGGAAGCTGTTTTGAATGAATAGCAAAGACAGGCTCTTTCTACTAAAAGCTCCAGCTTTAACATTGGTGTCTCTTTATTTTAATCAGGGTTTGGGTCTCGTGGAGGCAGCTCTATCTTGGTGCTGATCTGCCATGTTGGTTTCTGATGAACTCCAGTTCCGGGGAGGCCTCTAAGATTCCCCCATTTATCTGCTGTTCCTTGCCTAAGAGCAGGTCCTACAGTTAATCCCGTCCTCGGATCAAACAGCCTCAATGTCCTCTACTTCGGTTGTCCTGCACATCCTCCTGAGTCACCCTTCCCTGTGGTGTATAAGCCCAGGGTCTGGGGGATGATGGTTTGGGGATCTACAATCTTGTCTCATGGCCGCCCGAGACATAGACTTGGCTTCTGTTCATGTGTCCCTATTAAGTGTTTCTAAGAAACTGAATATGTCAGTCTCTTCCTTCAGCCTCTTGGCTTCCTGGGACTTCCTTCCTAGGGGTAGGTTTGCATAGACCTGCCCACCGTGGGACAGGTTCTCAATGAAGACTCTGGAACAGGTACGAGAGAACTGAGTCTTAATCACATTTAGTGATGGGACGTTGGGCTCTTTCCTCTTGTGATCAGGAGAAAGGCTGTACGCATCCACAACCCGCAGTCCATGTTGTACTACAAGTCCTGGCCACAGCCACAACTAAGAGAAAGAAAAGGCATGAAGACTGGACGCACAGCCAGTACACTGCCAGGCTTTCAGTGGCAACAGGAGGGTTTCCCCATGATCTGCTCCCATAAGGATTTGTGCCACATCCATCCATTTACTACGACTTAGCTTCTTTTTTTATCAACTGATTTTCAATATGAAATTTTGTATTAAATTAAGTTTATTTTAAAAGGAAACTTTAAACACCATAAGCAAAAAACCGGTATCCTTTATAATAAAGACCTAATAAATAAAAATCCCCAACAAATGAAAAAAAGCAACATTCTGAGACTTTTGCCAGATGCTCCTGCCTCCCCATGATGGTGAGTGGCAGGTCTGCTCTCTTCCTGCAGGCAGGGGTTACGGAAATCCCACTGAGGGCACTCCACTTGAGGTAGTCAGGAGAAACAAGAGAAGACTGGAACGAGGAAGCTCTCTCTCCCCATGACTCAGTGCCACCTGATGGAATTGTCTTACTGCCACTTAAACTCCCACTGGCACGCTCAGGGAAACACCGTGCCGGTCACTTTGGCTTACGTTGCCAAAAACTTCTTTGAGATGAAGTGTATTGTGTTGTGTTGCCAGGCATCTTGTGGGTCAGAGAAGCTACTATAACACAGAGGAGTCATGACCTACACACGCACAACCGAGGTTAGGAGGTTAAAATGCAACCCAGGTCTCCTCTTGCTGTGCACAGAGATTAATATGGTCTCCTCCGCCCTTGCCCACTTCTCTTTGGAACAGTGACTCTGTAGAAAGCAGAAATCAATTTGCCCTAATTGAGGGATTAAATCTTTCCAAAAGAGACTTTCTTGGGCAATGAGACAAGATAGCAAGAGGCAAGATCACGCTCCAAATAGGCCGCTGTTTGGGCAGGAACATTGTCTTTAACAAAAGAGAAAAAAATCCATCGTCATTGTCTGCGACCGCTGCTTCTTCTTGGCTAGGCTCAACTGGTAGGTCATTCCAACACGAATGCGATCCTCTCCCCACCACACGCCACTACTTCCCTCGGAGAAGTATCGCCTGCCCGGCACACTCATCGAGGCCTGCCCGGCACAGCTTGTGGCTAACTCGCCCAGATGCAGATGGCCACGCTCATTATGGATTGACCGATTAAGGCCTTTGACAGCTCATGGTAAAGTCGGAGTTATTATTTAGGGGCAATTATGCTCCCCCTGTCCTTTATTAGAAAATGCGTTTGCACGAAACCAAACCTTCTTTTACCACATTGTCAAAGGGTTTTGGAGTTGAAAGGGGCTCTAAATGAAGATGACGATGGCTATGATGATCATGACAGGGAATGGCTACAGAGTCCCTGTTCACAGAGTGCCCTGTTTCATACATGTCATCTCTGACACTTACAACACAAAAAACTGGGAATCCTAGCTCCATTTCATAGAAAAAGATACTGAGGCTCAGAGGGGGTGTTGTAACCTGCCCAAGGAATGTGGTTTATAAATGTTGAAGCCAAGGTCTAAGACTTATCCTGCCTTACTGTGAAAGAGCAGGCTCTTCCTACGCACCAAATGCCATCTCTGCCTCACCTTGGTGAGTCCCTTCTCCTAAGTGAAGAGTGGGGAGAGTCAGGGAAGTTGTGTTTTACCTAGAGTCATACAGTGAGTCTGTGACACAGCAGGGCTATAACCCAGTTCAGGGTGTTTTCCAGCCTCCACTTCTCCCAGCTCCAGAAGGCCTAGGGCAGGGATGGCAAGTTGGCTTCACTGCAGGGCCTACACTGATGGGCCTGGAATGGATACTTAAAGTTGTGTTAGGAAAGAAGCCGAGGCTCTATCCGGGCTCTGCATGGAAGTGCCAGGAGTGAGGAGAGATGTCTCAGTATCTGACGCAGCAGGGAGGCTGCAGCCCTAACGCCATGAGCTCATCATCCCGATTCCAGGGGCTTCCCTGACTGTAAAACAAGACTGAATTGTTTTTGCCCTTGTTACCCCCCACTTAGGGATGAGTCAGAGCCATGCCACAGGGCCAGAAGCTGACTTCTTGAAAGTGGTGAGCCCCAGCACTAGAAGGCACGAGGCAGGTGTCAGACGAGCGCTTATCAGAGAACAGATGGCTGCTGCAGCCCCGCCCACACCTCCCAGCACCGGGTCCTCCATGCCTGCCGGCCCACCACCTGCAGCACCTGCCCCTCTGTCCGGTGCTCTCTGCGTCCACACATTGGGCTTGGCCAATGACCCCAGTGCTGGAGAAGTGCCCCAACGCCCGAGCCCTCAGGCAGGTTGGCCCTGAGAATCTGCTCCTGTGGGGCCCCAGAACTCCGTGGGGCGAAGTGTGGCTCCTCACGGAGCACTGTCACTGGCTGCCCCGCCCCCGTGCTCTCTGCCCCACTCTCTTGCTAGGGTTTTCCCAAAGCCTCCTCCCAAGTGAATCATTCGGACCTGCTTCCCAAACTCAGACAGACCCATGGCTATCTGAGATCGCCTAAGCCGAGCGTGTGATTCTAGAAGCTCCCAGGGAGCCTTTGGCTCAGCAATGTGTGGCTTTTTGGCATCCAGTTTCTAGAAACAATGGCTAACGTGTGTTTACTACACACTCGCACCCCTAGCCCCAGTGGCTTCACACCGATTGATATCTTGTAATCCTCACAAAAACCCTACGAGGCAGGCCACTGACGAGCACCCTCATTTTGCTGATGAGGGAACGGGGAGCACAGAGAGGTTAAGTAACTTTTCCAAGGTCCATACAATTAGCAAGTGGTAGGTCTTGGATGAAAACTTGGCAGTCAGGCTCCAGAGTCTGTCGTTTTCTTTGTTAAACTTTTTTTTATATAAGAGTCATTTCAACCATATAAAGTAGAATGATGAGCCCCCTGTGGATCTATCACTCAGCTTCAGAAAGGATCAGCTCCTGGTCACTCTCGTCACATCTCTGCCCTGCCCATGGGATGATTGTGGAGCCAGCCAGGTCTGCACCTGAAGCCATCACACTCCAGGAGAGAAAGCCAAAGGGACTAACGCCAAAGGACGTCGCAACTCAGCCTGTGGGACTTAATACTCGCCCAAGTACACTTCCAGAGAGTTCTCTCAGTGCTGAGCACATGGTGCCTTCTTGGGAAGTACTGGGCCTGGTTATCTCACTGGAGTCCCCCCAGAATCAGTGCAGGGAGACGGAGCAGGTATCATCACTTCCAGTGTTA